CAAAGACATACACACACATATACACACAGTAAAAATAATACATCTTTAAACGTTGCAGCTGTTTCAATCTTAAAATGTGAGTTAACACTATGCTTCTGATTTCATGTATACGAACAGCAAAAGTTCTGTTGGCATTTCCAGTGAGGGAAATTCCTTCCTTCCTTCCTTCCTTCCTTCCTTCCTTCCTTCCTTCCTATAGTTGGTTATCAAAGGAAGATTTAATTTAAAGCAGTGAAATGGAGTTAGATCTGGAGGGGTAAAAATAGTAGGATCATTTGAGATGAAAAAGAAGTATGTCAAGTAAAAAAGGGTACTGAACAAAGGCAAAGGACAGTACGTAAAGTTCAGAATGGCCATGTATGTATGGGAATTAAAACCTTTTCAAGGAATGAACCTTCAGTGACCTAACATTGGAAGGGGAGCTGAGAGAGACTATGAGGGAAAAACAGGCTGGGACTGGAAAGATGCAAACCTCTCTATTCATGGATAGCATTTTATGTAGAAAACCTCAAGAAATATATAAAATACCAGGAGATCTAAAACACAAGCTTAGCAAGGTAGTTGAATGTAAGAGTAATAAATAGCACCCCAGTGTACTTCAATGCAGGAGGAATGCATAGTAGAAATTAATTTTTTAAGAAATCCACTCAGAATTGTCACTGAGTATAAATCCACTCAGTATAAGAATAAAATAAACTTAATAAGGTAATTAAAAAAAGGGAGATAAATTAATGGAAGGGAGCCCATGTACTAGTAATATGGTTAAGAATGCAGTACACTCTAGAATATTTGCGGTTCTTGTTAAAAAAATCCCAGCTGTCTGGTAGGTTGATCCTAAAATTCATATAGGAAGTATAAGGAAACCAGAGTGGCCAGAATAATCTGGAGGAGGGGAGCAGAGTTGGGAGACTCTCCCAGTTCCACACTTTACCCATTGCAGAGCAGCAGTGGTCAAGACGGAAGTATGCTGGCATGAAGATCCAGCTCATTGTGATGGAATGGAATGGAATTCAGAGTTACAATGAAACTTTACAGTGTCCGCCAGTTGAGTAGTCACAAAGGTAGCAAGGCTATTACATGAGTAGGAAGAATAGTGTCTTCAACAAATAGCGCTGAGATAAGTAGACATCCAAGTGCGACAGAATGAACTTGAATCTCTATTTCATATTATACACAAACATTAGAATGGCTAACCCTATAAAAGCTATTAAAATAAAATGGGAATATATATTTTTAACCTTGGATAAAATAGTGATTTTTTTCTTACATATAAGAAAAAGATAAGCAACCAAAGAAAAACAAGTAAGTTAGACCTTAATCAAAATTATAAAGTTTTGTAACTCAAAAGATGCTGCCAATCAAGCAAAAAGACAACTCATAAGATGTTTATAAGAATTTTTGTAATTAAATAATAGAAAGGACATAAGAATTTTATAATTAAATAATAAAAGGACACAACCCAATTATAAAATGGATAAAAGATCTGACAAGTCTTTAAAGAAGACATAAAAATGGCAAACACATGGCAAGATGTTCCATATCATGAGTTGACAGAGCAATAATCAGAAATGTGGTGAAATACCACTTTATACCTTGTAGGGGGTTACCCATGGTCAAACAGGGACACTAGTGGACCCCTCGACACTAGCAAAGCAATGGCATACAATGGCTCTGGAAAGCCCTTCCACACTTTCTTAAACGTTACACATACATTCGCCAGCTGACCACAAGATTCCACTCTTCTCCATGAGAGCTTAAAGTATATGTCAATACAGAAGTTTATATACAGATTTGTTACATATAATAGCCAAAAGGAAGCAACTCCCAAATATTTATTAGTTAATGAGTGAATAAAGGAAATTTGTTATTCTGTGTAACTAAATAAAATTGGATGGAAAAGTGTGATAATATTTTGACTCATATTTCAACTTGAATCATCCTGAACACAGCGTTTCTGGGCATAAATGAGAAGAAAATGCCATTTATTGTATGAATGTCCTTGTATGCAGTGTTCAGAATACCTATGTCTAGTTGACAGAGGAGAGAGCACCGTGAAAAGTGATTGGTAATTCATATAGGATTTATTTTGGGGGTAATGAGAAAGTAGCAATTGATCATTGCATAATTTTGTGAGTATATTTAAGACTACTTAATAGTAAAAGGGAAAAATCAAAGTCTTACCACATTATTTTTTAAAAATATAACATTTATTTATTTGTTGAAGACAAAGTCTACTATGTTTTCCTGGCTGCCCTGGGACCTGCTATGAAGACCAGGCAGACCTTGAACTCACTGTGATTATCTGCTTCTGCCTCCTGCATTCTGGGGAATTTAAGGCTTGTGCTGTCATGTTTGGCTAAAATTGATAATGTTCATTGAACTTGTTCTCTGACAGTTTCATCCATGCATAACGTGCATTCTGATTATTGTAACCCCCACCTTGTAATCAGTCTCCTACCCCATCATTCCTCCTTCCTCCTCACGGGTCCCTTTTCCATGTTCAGGACTTAATTTGTTGTTGTTGTTTTGATATCCATTGAGCGTAACCAGGATCATTTGTGTGACCATGGGTTGGAACTATCTGTTGGAGCCTGGTAGGCTCCTCATTGGGTCTACAACTGAAGACAGTGACTGCCCCTGTCCCAGAATCAGTTAGTAGCCAATAGCTCAGCAGGCAGGGGTAGACCCAGAAGGCCTTTCCCTGATCCATGATTGACTAGTTATGGGCCCAGCCTTGTGCAAGCCTATTGCAGACAGGCACAGCTATAGTGAGATTATGAGGAGCCCAGAAGGTAGCAGTTCATAGCCCCGTTTCCTATCTTTTGGCTCCTGTGTTCATTCTTTCTCTTTTGCAATGATCCCTGAACCTTAGAGGGGGTGGTTTAAATGTCCTGTTTAGGGCTAAGCAATCAACTGTCACTTCTCAGCACCTTGAGCAGCCATGTTCCATTTATTTCTGTTCATGCACACAGAGGATTCTCTGGATTAGGGCTGGGGGTAACATTTGACTTTGGGTATAAACATAAATACTTAAAGGCAGGCACCTACATTCTTTATTGAAAAAAACTCAAGTGTCAATATATTTCCAAGGGGAAGGGATTTCAATTGTTCAGCTTCCTTTTCAAAACCAAGGTTTGAAAAGTTGCTTCCTTTTAGAGTTACGGAACTATATCTTCTAGTTCTATCAAGAGAACTTGTAAATACTTCAAGGTTGTGTCCAAGATTATATAATATTTGATTCAAATTTAATGTTGAAAGTAGATTTCAAATTATTCAAAGTATAGTACAAAACAACATATATGCTCAGATATACTATTACTATTGACCAAATTTTAGTATCTGAGGAATAGTATATTAATACATGCTTTCAAGTTACTCCGTTGTGTTGATGTCTCCAGCCATGTCTTTCATGCTACTTGTGTGTATATATTCAGACATTTATTGCCTGTTCCCTGAAGAGGAAACCTATAGCTCTGCAGCGGTTCATAAGCAATGAAAGTTCTTTCATAAAATAGAAGTTAGTACACTATAGGTGAGGGTTTTCCTGATTCAGTAACAAAAACCATGTTCAAAGGGAGGATGGCTACTGATCCATTAAAAAAAAACAAAAAACAAACAAACAAACAAAAAAACAAAAAAACTTTCATTAAAGGTCTAACAGTGGAACCAGTATTTATCCCTAGTGCACAAATGGACTTTGGGAGCCCATTCTCCATGGAGGGATACTCTCTCAGCCTGGATACATGGGGAAGGGCCTAGGCCCTGCTTCAAATGATATGATCATCCCCCATGGAGGGCCTCACTCTCCCTGGGGAGTGGATGGGTGGGTTACATGGGGAGCATGGGAGGATAGGAGGGAGAGGGAACTGGGATTGATATGTAAGATTGTTTCTAAATAAAAAAATTACAAAGAAAAACAAAAGTTTTGTTTATCAGAACTTCCCTTATTCTCAGGTCTCACTGACTGGTATTGGGTCTCATTTTAATAGGGAAATGTAAATTTGATTGGTTATAATACATGTCAATTAAATATTGTTTCTTTTGCTTTATATACTGTAATTCGTCACACAATGTAAGTAAATTTTATGCAGTTGGCAACCTTAAATGTGACTCTCAAAATTGTTGCACTCAGGAACAGAAGGTAGAATGGTGGTCACCAGGCTGGAGACAGGGGGACTGGGAAGATATCCGTGGCCACACAATTCAAGATGTCTGTTTCACATTATAGTGACTATAGTTAATAATGGCTACTTGAAATTACTCAAAGACTAAATTTTAAGTATTTTTAACATTAAATAAATATATACTAAGTATGTGAGGTAATTAACATAAGCTTCTCAGGTTAATTTCGTCATTCCACAATGATATAGATGTACATCAAATTACCTTGAAAAATATATGTAGCTTTTATTTTTCAATTAAGAAAATAAATAAAATGCAAAATAGTTATACATAGTTGAAATCCCAGAGGCCTTGCCAAACATTGTGTTCCCTCTTACATTTTGACTTCGCTGTCACTCCTGTCACTCTTCAAGGAATTTTAAAAAATGCCTCCTCCCTAGAATATGATGGGGAGGAACAGACAGTCCAGCTGGAAAATGTTTACTGACTTGAAGTAAATCTTGTCTTTTCTGAGGTCCAGTCTGAGATTTCATGGTCATGGTATGTTTTGTAAGACTTGGTGTTCTACTCCACATCAGTATTTATTCTTTCACTGGTGGTATTTGGATAATGATACCAGAGTTTTAATATTTGTACATATGAAGGAACTGGGTCACTGCAGTCCCATTTCTGGGATTCCCTGTGTATGAGGGTTAAACTTGTGTGTGATGAACATGTAGGCTGAGTAGAAGGGACCGCTGCAAGATTGTAAAAAGTGTGTGTTACAGGGTGGGGTGGAAGGAAAGAGTAAACAAATATTATTGAGAACCTAGCATGTCTGGTATTTCTTAATACACAGTAGACCCCAATGTCATGTTTCCATTCTGTTCCGTTCTTAGGTGATCATGGAGGAAGCACTTTACTCCCACCAACTGTCACAAATGAATTTCCAGAATATGGGACCATGGAAGAAGGAGGAGAAGGCCTAAGAGCCTCTCTAGACTTTGACACAAAGTCTCTGCCATGCCGCCCACTAGAGCAGCAGGCAGTCCACCTTCTTGCTGGACAAGACTCTATGCTCAGCAGTGTTACAGAAGGACCAAACGATGCCTCTCAGTGTCACCCTCAGGAACAAAGTTTACAACCCATTGACTCTTTAATTTCTGCTCTGAAAGCTACAGAAGCCAGAATAGCCTCAGGAACATTTCAGGCTACAAAGGTACTGGACAAAGATGCTAAATTTTCAGTTCAGCCAGTGAATAAAGAGCTGAGTACTGCCGGCCATAAGCCACAGAGAACCCATAGAACATTCCCTGCTGGCAGAGAATCACCAGACTTACCTCTTTCAGTGGAAGTATCAACAGACAGAAATTTTTCTTTGAACATCCAGGAGGATCTGACTGCACTCTTACCAGAAGAAGCTCAGGCAGAACTGTCCCAGATAACCAATTACAGGAGACAAGGGCCTCTCTGTGTACAGGAGCCAGTGTGCCCTGTGTCGTCCCTGCGGACCTCAATAGGGAGCCATAACCCTGTGGACAGAGCTGGTGTTTTGAAAGATCAGAGGTCTGACCTTGGAAGAGAGCACCCTAGAGGATGTGATTCGGGTGGCTTCATGGGACGGCAAGGCCGGATCAAACATGTAGAGTTTCAAGGAGTAGAGATATTGTGGACAGGAGAGAAGGCAGAGAGCCAGCATCCTATAGACGTTGAGACATCACCAGCAAGGACAGCCTCTCCTGTCAGCAAGGGCTTTGCCAAAGGGCCAAGCCATTACAGCTCAGCTGCTGGTTTGTGCAGCAATTCTGTTAATTTGACTGGGAGTGTTTGGGATGAAACCTGGAAAGTTCCTTCAGCGAAGCCTGGCGTGAGCTTAGGAACATTGTCCCCTGTTCCTCTTGGTGAGAGTGGAGAGGATGAAGTCTTCCTGAGGGAAAGCAAAGAACACCTTGAGGAAAACCTTGATCTTCAGGGAGATAAAGAAAGGTGAGCTCTAAAGTTGTCACGCTATTTGTGATGCTGGAACATGTTATAGATCATTGCTGTCCTGGCTTGATGTGGGAACTGTCCACACAGGTCCATAGTCTCACCTTAACAGCCAGTGTGCTTTATAAGGTTTATTCCATTTACCTGGAGTCAACTATGATGTTCAAAATATTAAATGGAGAATTCTAGAAATAAATAATTCATGTTTTATGTAAGTTTTATTACAGTGTATTGTTACAGTTGTTCCATTTGTATGCTTACTGTGGCTAACATACAGTAACTTTATCATAGGTATAGGAATGATGTATTTAGGAGTTGTTATAGTCTTTGGTTTCATACCAATGGCAATTTATCCCTATGCATAAATGGGAGGGCTGCCATACTTATTGTTCATATTGTCACAGAATGGAAGAGAAATTATTATAATCTAGGCTTTTCTTAGATTACAGTTTTTAGACAGAAAAGTCATCATGTAATAAAGAGGTCTTTTAGACAAGGATCAGGGGAGCAAGGCTAAAGAGACTGTGATCAGTCAACCTTGCAAATGTGTTTTTGACATGAAAGATTAAAACCTATTGACTTGTCTCATGTAATCAGCACAGTCCATCTGTGGCCTTCCTTTGAGTGCAAACGGTGCATACATCCAGTTTATAGTGCAGCCTATTTTCCTATACTGACATAGAGGTTTGTGCCATGCATTTCTCTTGGGCTTGAAAGGACGTCTCAGGAGGTCACAGGTATATTAGACTACAATTCACTTCTTCTGTGGTATTCACAAATGAATATCAGTATTTCTCAACCTGTGGATCATGACCTGTTTGGGGGTTGAATGACCCTTTCACAGGGGTCACCTATGACCATTGTAAAACACAGACATTCACATTATGATTTCATAACAGTAGCAAAATACCTATGGAAATAATTTTATGGTTGGAGGGGTCACCACAAATGAGAAAGGAAATTAAGGGGTCACAGCATTAGAAAGGTTGAGAACCACTAGTTTATATGCTAAAAATATGTCAAGACTAAAGGTGTGTGTGTGTGTGTGTGTGTGTGTGTGTGTGTGTGTGTGTTCCTCTGCATTGACACATTTAAGATGATGTTTCTTTTGGGTGACTATCAGGATCAGAAAATCCCTAGATTCTTTTCAAAAGTAGCCTTAACATATGGCTCTTATCTATATATCACTCTGAAATGTGCACTTTTACTGCTATTCAGACTAGTAATTCATTGCTTCCACCGCTTTCCCCCCTTTTTTTTTTCTAGAAATGTTCTCAAGTTGCTTGTTGTGTCCCTGACCCTGTTAGTTGCTAGACATAAAAGAGTGGGGAAAGTACCTGAGACCCCTGATCTATGGACTTTAGTGCTAAATGTACAAATTCACCACATAAACACTAACTAGGTGCTGTGAAGGAAAGAACAGAGATCCACTGGAAAGATAAACTTGAATGGCAAGAAAGAGGCTAATTCAGGTGGCAGCTTGGATAAAATCTTTCTGTAAACACATTAATTAAATGATACCTGAGAACCCAGGTAGCTGGCCAGACAGAAAATGGGGATTGAGGTCTGTACAGGATCTTTTTTTTTTTTTTTTTTCATTTAAGCCCAATGAAAAAGCTGTAAGAGTTGTCATCCCAGAAAATTATTTGGTACACAGTAGGATGACAGTAAGTTAATACCAACAAGGACAGTCATACATACCATTGCATGTGGATTCTGGTAATGTGTAGGAATCATTTATGAGACATTTAATAGATACTTCTTATTTCTCCTTTATTTCCTAGTCATGGGAACCAGAGGTGCAGAGAAGTCAAGTAAGTCACCTAAAATTATGTAGCAAGTAGACCACACTGCAGTAAACCAGTTCCATGTTTAATTTTGACTTACCGCTCTGACCACTGACTTACCTAAGTTGTCTGAATGTTCATCTTTTTTTGTTTCTTTTTCGGTTTTTAGAGACAGGGTTCTGAACGTTCATCTTAATATTTGAAGACCATGCTGGATATTCATTCTTAACATCTGTACACCATTGATGCCCTACTCTTTCATATTCATGTCTAAGTCATATCTAGCTTTTTATGATTTTGCCATGTTTATCAGCTTTTTAAAAATTCCTTTTTAAAGATAATTATTCTCCATTTCTCTTTCCCTTCTCCAAACCCTCCCATATACCCTTCTGTGCTCTCTTTGAAATTCAGTCTCTGTTTTTTAAATTGTTGTTACATGCAAATATGTTACATACATGTATGAAATATACACATATTTTCCTAAATCCATAAATGCGACCTTCTTAGTCTGTATAATGTTACTTGCATGAATGTCTTCAGGGTTGACCATATGATATTGGATAACTCATTGGTAGGAATGTCAAGCTGCACTCATAAAATCTCCAGATCCTGACCGTGTAAACATGAGCTGCACAAGGACAACGGTAGACAAGTTAATGTGCATAGGAGCAGACGTGGAAAAGCCCAGGAGACCTTAACCCTACCCAAAGGATTGAAGGCAGCTAAGGAATACTGAGATCCAGAGAAATAGTCCTCTCCAGGGAAGAGCACAGTTGTTGTTAGCCTTTTAAAAGTTTTCTTAGTACTCTCCACTGCAAACCTGAAGTCTCTGCAGTTCTACTTTCTGTCAGCAGAGGGCAGCAGCTGGATTCTCACCAGAGAACATCTGGTCTCACTTAAATCAGGAAGTATTATTAATAGCCAGTGAGAGTTCAGTGCATTTTTACTGATCATTTACTGTATCAAGTTTGCATGATATTTATGTGCTTCTCTTGTGATTAATGATGATAGTTGTATGATCTGGATATGGCTGGTTGAAAAGAATTTTTTTTCTTTTAAATATGCACTGTTAGAGGATGTAGGAAAATAGTCTGAAACTTTATTAAATTGTTATAGATTAGTGACATGTGTACTAAGAATATTTTAACCTTGGGTTGGAGATTTAACTTAGTAGTTAAGAGCACTTGTTGTTCTTGTAGAGAAGGTTCAATTCCCAGTGCTCACACAGGGGCTCACAACTCCAGGTTCAGGGGATCTCATACCCCTTTCTAAATTCTGTGGGCTTCAAGAATGTATGTGGCACACACATACATTTAGGCAAAACACTCTCACACACAAAATAATCTAGAGAGAATATTTTCACCTAAGTAGGCTTCATATCTTTCTTCCCAAATACACTATTAAGCCTAAGTTTGGTGGATATAAAAATTGCATTTATACATCACTCCTTTTTTAAAAAATATGGTTGGTTGAAGGCAGGAAATTGAAAAGAAAAAGTGACTCGATATTGAAAATGTTACCTTTTGCTCATTTTCCAGGTTTCTCGAACAAGAGGAGCACCTGCGGGGAGGAGATGATGACATTCTTGGGACCGGATACACAGAGGACTCCACAGATGTGTACAGCAGCCAGTTTGAAACCATTTTGGACAACACCTCCCTGTACTACAGTGCAGAGTCATTGGAGACTCTATACTCAGAACCTGATAGCTACTTTAGCTTTGAGATGCCGCTGACTCCCATGATCCAGCAGCGCATCAGGGAAGGTGGTCAGTTCTTGGAGAGGACCTCTGTGGAAGGACATCAGGATGTTCTGAGCGTGTCAGCAGATGGTGGGATAATGATGGGCTACTCTACAGGGATCATCAATGGACTACACGACTCTGCCACCTCGATCTACACAAAAGGCCCTCAAGAGATTACCTTCTGGGGAAGGTAGCAGTGCCATTCTCATTAATTACTTTTTTCTTTTGTTGGAAGTAATCTCTCTTTGGGAAATCCAAGGAAAGGGTATATTTTAAATGGGTTTGGCAAGTTTCAGTGGATGTAAGCAAATGGTGTGAGTAAATGAAAGTTTGGGATTCAAGGGAATGACACTTATACTCTAGTGGTTTGTCAAGTTGGCAAGCTGTGTGCCTTTTCTGGGTTACTATATGTGAATGGATACTGAGACAGTAGTTGTAGTGAGTACGAGTTAGCCCTGATGCTGCAGCACTGTAGACAGTGGCTGGTGCTCTAGAAATAGCCTTTAGTCTCACACTGGCAAGGTATTTGCTCCCTCTGTTTTAACACTGCCGTCCACCTTGAGTTAACATAACAACTTAGGTAGGGTACAGGTTCCATACTTGTCATCTGTCATCCTACTTAAGGGTATTCATCATTTCACCTATTTTTGTACATCTCAGTTTCTCTGTCTGCCGTTTAGCATCTCTGTCAGCAGAAAGGGAAAGCTAAACTTTGTAAGTTTCATGAATTTAGATTTGGAATGTGTTTTCTATATTTGTATCTTGAGGTAGTAGTGTAGGGAAGGTTAAATGAGGACAAGTATTTTGAAGGTATATGAAAAATGTAAGTGCTTTTTTCTCTTTAAGATTCTGTGCAGGTTTCTAGTAAAGCTGTCTTCCCACAGTCTGCCCTGTGTTGAAGGCATGGTCCTTTGGAGGGACAAACTCAGAGCCAGCACCTTTCAATACTGTCCTTGTGTCTCCCTGTGAAAGAAGGAGTGGTTGACTTGGGTCATGGTGAGGTGAAAGATCAATACTGCAGTTGTGTCTCTCTGGGAAACAGGGAATGATTGGCTTGGGAAAGTACACAAGATCTCAAAAGTACAAGGTTTTGGCCTGGTATGTTTATTCATTCTGAAACCTGGTTTAATTTTATTTTCAAAATAGGGATTATGATACCCTGAACACTGAATAGCTATGAGTATTAAAGGGTTAATATAGCTGAAAGCACCTAGCACAGGGTCTAGCTGCCAAGTTTAGACTTTCTGTATCATGAAGAGGGTTACCTCTAAGAGGGCCACCCCTGAGAGAAGGATGTCTCCAGGGATGTGTCACTGAGAGAAGAGTGCCTCCAAAGAAAGGAGATTTTTGAGAGCAAGCATTCCTAGAAGAGGAGTGTGCCTATGAGCAGAGTGTTCCTGAAGTGTCTCTGGCCATGTTGTTCTGGAGAGAAGTGTCTCTCTCAATATCATCATCTCTTATGAGTGTAAATTTTGAAAAGATGCTGTAGAACATGTATGTAAAAGAATTCACTCTATCTCCAACTCAACTTTCTGGGTCCTATAGAAGTTGTTTATATTGTAGACAAAATCAGGTCAAGAGCTAAGGTGGTTCTGGTTGTTCCCTCTACCACAGAAGTCACAGGAAAGGTATCCATGAAGGTAAGTTGTTACAGCCCATGAGCAGCATAGAAGAGGTGAATGAAAGGGTTATTTATGTGTAGCCTCTGTACCTAGACACGGAAGACATAACAATCATTTGGCAGCATGGGTGCTGTCTTAATTAGGGTTACTTTTGCAGTGATGAGACACCATGACTAAAAGCAACTTGTGGAAGAAAGGGTTTATTTCACCCACAGTTCCATGTAAGAGTTTGTCATCAAAAGCAAAGGTAGGGACTGAAGCAAAGCAGGAACCTGGAGGCAGGAGTTGATGTAGAGATCATGGCGGGGTGCTGCTTACTGGCTTGCTCCCCTTGGCTTGCTCAGCCTGCTTTCTTAGAGAACCCAGGACCACCAACCCAGGAATGGTACCTCCCACAATGAACTAGGCTCTCCCCCATCAATCACTACTTAAGAAAATGCCCTACTGCCAGATCTTAGGGAGGCATTTTATCAACTCCAGCTTGTGTCAAGTAGACATAAAATTAGCAAGCACAGGCCCCAATCCTTAGTATGGGCAGAGTTAGGTCCTTAGAATGCTGGCATAGCTCATTATGTTTTACCATGTTGGATTACATGATGGTATTGGTTGGGGTGAGGTAAAATCTCAGCCATGTCACCTGCCTATGGTAAAAAGACCAAATCCTCCTGCAGAAAGAATTATCTTGAGGAGATTCCTATTACAGGACCCCTGACAAGGTCATTCCTCCCTTCCATGTGCACTGCCATGTCTTGGAGAGACTAGCTTGATGGGGCACTTCCTTTAGTGTTTTTTGAGAGTTGGCTCAAGGTATTAGGTAGTTATAGGTATAGAAAGTTTTACAACTTGAAAGGGACCTTATAAAACGATTTATAACAACAACAACAACAACAACAAATCACTGTCCTAGTTTGGCTGGGGGAATTACCCAAAGCCATGTGACTTGGTAGTGACAGATACTGTTCCTGATTTCAAGCTGCTTAACTCCCAGAAGAGTGTTTTCACTATCCTGTACTTCTAGGTCTTTTATGTAATCATCATTTTTCTATGACAATTATTTCTTCTGTATTCTCTTTTCTTTCCATACAGACAGATGTCTGAATTCATCTATCTTCAAGAGCTTAGTTCCAAATGCATTCTATAATGTTTTTTGTTGTTGTTAGTGTTGGTTGTGGTTGTGGCAGTGGTGTGAGTGCATGAGCATGTGTGTGTGTGTGTGTGTGTGTGTGTGTGTGTGTGTGTATGTTAGGTGAATTGTTTGGGAGTGGTCACTGTAACAAAACTTGCTTTCCTCTTCCAATTTTGGTAGCCAGGAGGAGTTTGCATTTCCCTGCTACCCTCCCACATATATCAAAGAAGAGAATTCCTTAGATCTCTCCTATTCCAGAATTTAGTTGGGAAGGTTCATTATTTGAGACTTATCTTACTATATGTATTTTAAAGTATTATATATAAATAAAGACGTCTGCTGAGATCCTGGATCCAGCTATGAAAGGAATAGTTAAATTCATCCAGGATTCTGTGTCTGCTGGCTTGTGCTGCCTGTCAGCAGGAAATAGCTCACCTCACCCTGCTACATAATGCAATACTTTAATGAAGGAGCAAAGAGTAGCATCCCTACCCTTAGTGGTCCAGCTGGGTGCCTCAGGGCCCCAGGGTTCAGCAGTGCTGTGTGAAGTCCAGTCACATGGCTCCAGAATTAGAAAGGATAATTAGAGACTACAGTCACTCATATCCCCATGGGTTCCTTTGTGTCTGGGTGTTTCCATCTCGCAGGCCTATCAGCTGATGACCACAACTCCAACCAGTAAGTTCTATCTGACCTGAAGGCTGCAAGACACAAATGTCATTGTCACCAAAAGCCATGGTGAATAATGTCCTTTTCTGTTGAGCTCCAGTTTGGACAGAGGCAAGGAGAGATAGCAAATACAGGAATCTGTCAGCAACTTCGTTTCTGCTTCTCTCAACTATGAGAATCTGCCTTTAAAATATGCTTTGTAGTGTGAAAAATACGTTTTACATCTCAGCTTCTTAGATTTCCTCTCAGGATAGGAGTTCGGCAGAAGAGGTGAATTACATCTGTGAGCAGCTGGTGTGCCTGAGGGAAGTGCTTTACTGTTCAGTACCCTGAAGATATTTGTGGGGGTTTTGCCTTATTCTTGTCTTTCTTCCTCCTTCCTCTCAACTGGAATGCTATACTATTTTTTCTGAAGCCTTTTTATTTCCTTAGTGTCTTCCTGCTTGGGAAGATGTGACTTGAAGTAGCAGTGATAAAGACATTAGTTAAAGTGTAATTTTAAAAAGTTAGCATCCCAATTTAGAAACAGAAAGGTATCTTCATATACATCATTATTAAAGAAAGAGTAAAGTTTAATGTGGTGTGGTGTTAGTTTAGCTGTCAATCGAGTAAAATTTTATTTTTATTAAGTGTCTTGGGAAGTTATGGAACTCTGAACTTCGAATTTGGTCATTAGGGGTAGGGTTCTCAGCTGCCTCTTGGGTTAGTGGTGGGTGGATGTGACACCAGTAATCTCTTACAGTTTTTTTTTAATGCTCTAAAGTTTTTTGTTTTTTTTTTTTTCTTTCAGAAAAAGAGGTTCTCATTTTTTTCTTCCTAATCTTCCCAGTGGTTGTAGTGGTGAAGTTATGTATTATTTTACCACTTTAGGGTTTCTGTAAAGTTCACAGTCAGTCAAACCTAATTCTAAATCTTATTTAGTAGGGGATGTGTGTATTGTTAGTTATTTAGTAGGTGTGAGTATGTTTTGTTCATAAAGTCTAGGAATCTCCCTTAAGTGGAAGATGAAATTAATAGCAACTACTGTCAGGGAAGAAGTAACAAATGAGATGAAGCAAAAGGAAATTAAGAAAGGACAATCAAGTGGCTAATAGTACCAGATGCTTAGATCAGGGAGTGAGATCTTCAGACTTCCCTGCCCTGAGCATTCAGAGGCTTCCTCTAAAATCACTTTCCTATACAAAGCATTATCCACTAAGGGGGGCAGGGTGGGGTGGATGGGACATAAACTCGTGGAGATTATGGGCTATTTCATCTTGGTCAGCTCTTTTCATTTGTGGAAACTGATTCCTTGTTGGTAAAGTAGAAATAATCCTACCAACCAATTTAATTTTGGTGTATGAGTTCGATGAGTTTAGTTTTAATCTGTTCAAGGTTTACACAATGGTCTGAGTAATTGTCAGAAGATAGGAAAATAGATAAGAAAAATCTAGATAAAGAAAAAAATACACAAAGATTGGGTCAGTGTTTCAATATGTGGTAGGTGGGTTGGGCTAAAGTGATTTTAAATTTCAAGCATGGGTAACTCCTTGAATGCAGAAGCTGTTATATCCAGTTGAGGGCAGAATCAGTGTTTGTTGGAGTCATCTGGCAAGCTCACTGTAAACTTGTTACATTGAGAAGTGCAATGATTAGCCATTAATGAAGGGCTGATGGAATGGAGGATTGAAGGGCCCTGGAGAGACCATGGAATTACCATTAGTGATTTACAGTTTTCGAAGGGAGAGGGATAAGTTAGGATGGATATACATAGGAGAACCTGGGTGTTCATTG